ATATATATATATATATATATATATATATATATATATATATATAACGATGTGGTGTGTAGCCCGATCCTTAACTATCCTCACAATCCGGCTCTCGATTTCACTCACTCATCAACCTCACAAGCCACTTGGGCATTTCAGTATAAGCTCAGGGAACTCAGCCCAAAACAACTTTCATATATTAAAATAGAGTGATGAACAAGATTAAACAATAAGTAGGTATAAACCATGACTGAGGATAATGCTTTCTATCAAAAATAATGTGAGGATAACAGAAAAATACCCCTGAGGGTCCAAACAGTACGGCACAAGTCCCAAAACATGGCATTCAGCCCAAGCTAACAAATTTATTTCTAAAACACATAGATATCATATAGAGTTTATCAAAATATGCAACTCTACAGTTTCAACAGGATGGACTAAGTCACAATCTCTGCAGGTGCACGCCCACACGCCCGTCACCTAGTATGTATGTCACCGCATTTATCAAAATTGTACGAAATTCCAGGGTTTCATACCTTCATATCTAGATTTACAATCATTACTTACCTCAAACCAGACGAAAATCTACTCCGTGATGCCTTTGCCGCTCGACTCGGCCTCAAATCGTCAATACATGCTAAAGGAACAAAGCCCACGCAAAAATTATCAAATTATATCAAAATTCCCAAAATTGGCCAAACCTTACCCCTGGACCCACGTCTCGGAATTCGATAAAAGTCACAACACTAGAATCCCTTATCCCCTCATAAGTCCATACATACCAAATTTACCAAAATCCAACTTCGTTTGATGCCTTTATCACCCAATTTTAACTCTCAAGTTCCAAGCCCTAATTCCCCAATTTTCACCCTTAAATCTAACAAATTCCAAGCTTAATCTACTGAAAATCACCATAGAATTGAGTATTAAGTTCAAAAATCTTACCTCAACAAGTTTCCCCTTGATTCCCTCTTCAAAACCCTCTAAAAGCTCCAAAAACCGAGTTGAAATTGTGAAGAATGACCAAAATGCGCGAAGGGGAACTTATATACTTTCTGCCCCAGGGATTCCGCACCTGCAGACAATAACTCGCACTTGTGGACTCGCACCTGCAGTCCCAAGTGCGCACCTGCAAAAATCACTTAAAGGACCGGGACCGCATCTGCAATAGTTACCGCACATGCGGTGCCGCAGATGCGTCCAAATAATCGCATCTTATCCTGATGACCAAAACACGCACCTGCGATCTCCTTATCGTATTTGCGACTTCTCACCTGCGGTCCCCAATCCACAGGTGCGGAAATGACAGAAGCAGCAAAATCTGTATCAACAACTCAAAGCCAAACTTCCTGTCAACCACTCAAATCCATCCCGAGGCCATCGGGACCTCAACCAAACATATCAACAAGTCACATATCATCATTCAAACCTATACCAACCTTCAAAACACTCAAAACAACATCGAAACACCAAATCACCCTCGGATTCAAGCCCAAGGATTTCCAAACTATCGAACTCCGCAAACGATGCCAAAACCTATCAAACCTCATCCAAATTACCCGAAATTTTGCATACACATGACAAATGACACAACAGACGTACTCCAATTTCCAAAATTTCATTCCGATCTTGATATTAAGATTTCCACTGCCGACCAGAAAACGCAAAATTTTCAATTTCGTCAATTCAAGCCTAAATCTACTACCGACCTCCAAATTACATTCTGAACACGCTCCTAAGTCCAAAATCACCTAATGAAGCTATCCGAACCATAAAAACTAACTTGCGAGATCATATATCCAGAAGTCAACTTCCGGTTGACTTTTTCAACTAAAGCTTCTAAATAAGAGACTATGTATCTCATTCCATTCCACGAGCACTTTGAATCCGAACCAACCAACATGATACGATGAAATACAATTGAGCAATACATAAAGAAGTAAAAATAGGGGGAAATGGGACTATAACTCATGAAACGACCGGCCGGGTTGTTACACATACCACCGACCATACTAATGTTGTAAAGCAAATCAAGGATCCGCAAATAAGTACTCAAAGCCTCTTACAGAGGACATCGATCTCAGGTGACGCTAAAGACAATACCAGCTTACTCTAACCATCTGAATCTCTTTTCCTTGTTCATCCGAGCTGGTGATATTCTTGTCGACACCCAAATCGCAACCTTGATCCTCAACTTCCAACTCCCCTGCTACTCGATACACTTAATCATGTCTATGCACAAGAGTACAAGAATTTCATCATAACTCATGATCCACTAATAGGGTACACACTTTATCATATAGAAACCTTTTACTTAACTCATTTCAAGAGGACCATTGCAACACGTGACTGAATTCCCATAACCGCAGAAAATACAATCCTCAAGTAGGGGTCTAAGCCACCATAACTCTTCTGAGGTCCGTCTACACTTATCAGACTATTATAATTGAATATCTCTAAATAAATCTAATTGCAGCGGCCGCCAAGCCTCGCACGTACCGCCACCAATCATCTACATAACGTAACATGCTGAAGGAACTGATCATTGCCACCACCATGTCGATTCAACCATTGCTAATGGAACCAAATTCTTCTAATTTGCTTTGGACTTTCCTTAGAAATAACAATGGCTCAATTCAAAATATAACAAACTCAATCTGCACTCATCCTGAGTGATCCCATTTCACGAGACCACATTGTCTCAAAACCCACAATTCATCTCATACCCTCCTTGTGCGCACATTCGCATCTTCAACTGGTAAACCTATTCTGATAATTCCTCTATGAAGTCCGAAGTTATTTTCTCCCATTCCTCTAATGCTACACCACATACCGAAGATAACATTGAATACTCCAAGCCCTTTTCATAATCCGTTGCAAAAGCTCGATACTAAACCATATCATGGACCCAAAATCCTTAGGCACCGAACTTTAATTTTGAACCTACTAGGGCCATTGTTGAGAGTCACCCACTCTGACTTATTCTCGAATATAGTCACACTCCAATGCCTTGCTAGCACATGAACACCCTCTCTAGGAAGCAACCGGCTGAATTATTTTCCTTATACATCACATCCACATGAAGCATAGACTCTGAGTCTTCCCAAACATGAACATGAAACGATAAGGCCAAAGATAGCACATATTCCTCAAATCCTTTGCTCAAATTACCACTGATGTTTTTTTCCTTAGTCATAATAACCCACCAATACACCGATAATTAGAAACCACACAAGTAGACAACCACGCAGTCCAATCATAGACGGTGGGGCTCTCCCACTTAGCTTGAAGCTACAATTACATAACCCTGAGACCCACCGAAGTTCCTTCTTCCCCATTGGCATCAACTAAATGTCCAAAAACGCATTCCAAACTCGAAGTCATGTTGCACCTAAATAAAAATTTGTGGACCTAGTGCATTTCCACCATGAATTACCCAAATAGCTCCAGACTTTCCTCAAGGCGTGTGACCATCCTACCACAGAACTTATATATTACTCTGCCACTCTCCCACTTTGGTTCAACCCTCTCCTTTAAGCAACTCCTCGACTTCTACTTTTCACACATAACTTTCTAGAAATTCAACCACCGCAAAACACCTCCTACATGTCCTTCGTCGCCCAACTGTTGCCCCAAATCCGATTCTATCTTTGTAACACCCGAAAAAATGAGCCGCCACCAACTCTAAACCTCTTAGAAGATTATCTTTCTCGAGCCATCAATAGTAGAAGTACCAATTCGATTCCGAAATTGCTACACTCTGTTATCTCTGACACCCACATCTCAAGAACCATTTCACAATACCCTACCCCGAAGGCAAATTGAAGAAGTCCATAACATCGGCGAAGCTTAACGTGTTCAATCAAGGGCGAGATGAAAATTCCACCACGCTTGAAAGTACCAAGTTTTGTTACCCCTCCAACCCAAACTTGAACATTCATAGAACGATTGTCTTTCCTCCACCAGAAATAAAATACTAAATATCTGAATCACGCACTGGGTAAAGCTCCTTCCAAGTCACCCACTACCCTAACACATAGGCAAGCATCTTACCATTACATCACTATTGTGCGATAACAATTCATGAGCATCTATCAACCTGTGTATAGCCTCAAACTCTCAGAAGTACAACTACTGGGTCGAAACGACAGAATATCCTTCTGCAAGGCGACGACAATAGCTCAATCAACTACGCAGGAAGAAACATCTCGCACCACATCTGTAGTACCATTACAATTCCTCAATTCCCAATTGATAACCAGCGATTCATGTTGCATAAGATTAAATAGTAAGGAAATAAAGGTACAAGCCTCAAAAAGATCAGTTTGCACGATGAGGAATCAAGAAGGGAAGTGCTCCTAATAGCCATGTAGCCTCTTGAAGATAAGTACAAACGTTTCCGTACCGATTCGCAAGGCTCTACTAGACTTGCTCAAGACTCGTGAGACCTAAGTGAACCTAGTGCCCTGATACCATGTTGTCATGACCCAAAATCTGTTAAAGGTCGTGATGGCGTCGTACACCACTATCAGGGAAGCCAACACTAAATAGTTAATTAAACTCTCATTTTTATATTTCTAAAATCATAAATTTCCTTCAAGTTAACTAGTAAAAGATGAACTTTAAGGAATAATAATAACGTTTCTCGATTTCAATATTAAATATCCCATAATCATCCCAGAACTCGGTGTCACAAGTGCATAAATATTTACTAGTAAATAAAATAAAATAAAATAACTATCCGGAATTCAAATTTGAACATAAAAGAAAAGACAAATACTCTGATGGAGACTCTGCTGGTTGCGGATCATACACAAGATGCAGCTCACCTAAGTCCCTGTATCAATCATGCCACTGCGCCCACAAGGCCACTAGACATACATGTGCCTATACAATAAAATGTATAGCAAGTGTAGTATGAGTACCAAAACACCGTGTACCCAATAAGTATCTAGTCTAATCTCGAAGAAGTAGTGACGAGAGGTCGACTCTGACACTTACTATGGCCAACAATAATATATCGTTAATATGATAAATTATGGGTTTTATAAGACGACTATAAATTCAATAACATGAAGTAGGTAAACAATTCTTTTGTTAGTAGGACATTTCCAAATTTATTTTCATATTTTTAACTATTCATATCTCCGGCCAATGATGGAACATAAATCATCAATAATCTCAAAACAATCAATCAAGCCATGCGCAAATCATGCCAAGGTCGTACGGCCCGATCCAACATAATATTTAATTGTGCACTGCTGGAGGGTCAAGCAGCACGAACCATAGATGTATCTATTTACTACCGAGGCGTTCGGCCGGACCCACAAATAGCAATTTATTTTTAAAGGAAAACACAAATTTCACATTTACAGTCAACTACTCAATTAAATCTTTCAAGTTATTGAATTTAACCTTTACACTTCTTTTATCAAGTTCCGACGACTTAAGTAATTGAATTAGCAAGTAAGGGTGCAAATATTTCAAGTAAAGCATGATACGGATCCTAAACTACCCGGACAATAGCATAATAGTAGCTACGTATGGACTCATGTCACCCCGTACGTACATAGCCCCCACAAATAAGTACACACATTTATTTAATTCATCTATGGGGTTAATTCCCTCTTACAAGGTTAGAAAGGAGACTTATCTCGTCTTAAAGCCCACTTTCCAGTCACAATTTCGCTCTAAAAGCCCCAACTTGGTGCCGTTCAATCCGAAACTAGTCAAACAACGTGCAAGTTAATTAAAAATATACTTCAATCCTTGAAATTTAACAATTTATAAAAAAAATTCAACTCCGCTCGAAATGTTGGTAGTGGGGCCCACGTCTCTGAACCCGATGAAACTCACAAAATTCGACAACCTATTTCGATATGAGTTCAACTATACTAATTTTATCAAATTCTGATGACAACTTGACTTCCAAATCTTAAATTTTCGCTCTTGAAAAGTTTTGCAAAAATCTTGATTTCTTCCATTTAAATCCGAAAAAAATGAATATAACCATAGAATGTATAATAACTTTAGGATATAGGACACTTACCCCAATTCATATGATGAAAATCGCCTCAAAAATCGCTTTAATCCGACCTCCATAGCTCCAAATATGTTAAAAATGGCCGAAACCTCGAAATATAGCTTCTGCCCAGGTATTTACTCTTTGTGATAGCGGAAAATACTTTGTGATCGCAATGCACAACATTTTTAGCCCAAAATTTTCCCTTCGTGATCGCGGAAAATACTTCGTGATCACGAAGAACAAATGCTCAGCTCTTCCAAACAGCCTCTAGTACAATGGTCATAACGTTTTGTATAAAACTCCAAATTGCAATTGGTTTCACTTTTTTAAAATTAGACATAAAGAGCAACGACTTTTATTTTTAGATCATCTACAAATTCTTTATAGATTGCAAGATACAAGCTTCCAAAGTCGGGTCATAGCAGCAGAAACTTTCCTCTACGCGATCGCGAAAGCCCTTCCGCGATCGCGACACTGGCCAATTTCTCCTATTTTACCCATCGCAATCGCAATTAGTTCCCCGCGATCGTGTAGCACACCGCTTTAGCCAAAAATAAGCAGCTAAAAATAGCCTAGAAATGGTCTGATACCACCCCAAAACTCACCCGAGCCCCTCGGGACTCCGTCCGAACAAACCAACAAGTCTCAAAACATATAACGGACTTAGTCGAGGCCTCAAATCATATCAAGCAATGCTAAAAACACGAATCACACCCCAATTCGAGTCTAAAGAAACTAAGAAATTCTAGTTTCTACATTCGATGCCTAAACCTATCAAATCACATCCGATTGACATCAAATTTTGCACACGTGACATTCGACATTACAGACCTACTCCAACTTCTAGAATCAGAATTTGACCCCGATATCAAAAATTTCACTCCCGTTCAAACTGCTCAAAAACCTTCAAATTTATAACTTTCGCCAAATGACCCCGAAATGACCTTCAGAGTTATACCCAGACTCGGAATCCCAAGTGGACATATATAACATTGAAATACACCTCAACCCAAATTTATGAAATTCTTCCAAAATGTCAACTTCCACAATAGGTGCTGAAATGCTCCTGAGTCATCCAAAACCCAATTCGGACATATGCCCAAGTCCAAAATCATCATATGAACCTGTTGGAACCTTCAAATCTCGATTCCGAGGTCGTTTACTCAAAAATCATACTTTAGTCAATGCTTCCAACTTAAAGCTTCCGAAATGAGAATTTTCTTTCCAAATCAATTCCGAACCTCCCGAAATTCAATTCCGACCACGCATACAAGTCATAATACCTTAAGTGAAGCTACTCAGGGTATCTTGAATAGAATGTAATGCACTCTTCTATCCAATATCCCTCTGTAATTGAACCTTCTGGATGGCTTCTACTCCTCACATAATTTTTAAGAGTAAGCAAGTACCTAAAATAATAACTAATATTATAGTTCAATATAATACTTCATAAGTACTATAAATAAGAATAACAAAATGATACCTTTCAAATACCTACATTGAACGGTATGGTGGAGGTCCACCAGTCCTTGCTTCTTTGGCTAAATGAATGACTAGATGTTTCATGATATCAAAAAAAGATGGAGGAAATATTCTCTCCAAATGACAAAGAGTTATTGCAACTCGATCTTGGAGCTTTTCTAATTCACCTATGTTTATAACTGTTGAAAAAATGCCCCTAAAAAGGTTACTTAATTCGATCATTGGCTTAAGGACATTCTTGGAAGGAGACCTCACAAAGCAATAGGAAGGAGTTGTTGTATTAAAATATGGCAGTCATGACTCTTCAATCCATGCACAATGCGTTGCTTAAGATCAACACAACGTGATATATTTGAAGCATATCCATCTGGTACCTTCACATCTCTTAAAACTTGTAAGAGCATATCTTTTTGTGCATTGCTCAAAGTGAAACATGTCATAGGTAGATAGTATTTGCCATTAGCTCTTTTTTTAGGGTGCAACGCCTTTCGAATCCCCTTCTCTTGTAAATCCATTCGAGAATTCAGATTGTTTTTTCCTTACCCGTCAACATTTAGTAATGTCCAGAACATATTGTCAAATACATTCTTTTCAATATGCATTGTGTCAAGATTATGGCAAATCATATTGTCTTTCCAGTAGTCTAACTAAAAAAATATGCTCTATTTCTTCCATAAATATTGCAATATGGCATCATCAACATGATCAAAATTCTTCCATTTTCTTTTCTGGGATTTGGTCGATGAATGTTTTCCGAATTTTTTTTAATCCCTTTCAATTGCTTAAGAACTTCAATACCTGACATACATTTAGGTGCTACCTCTAACTCCTTACAACCATCAAATGAAACTTTATCTTTTCAAAACTTATGCCCATGGGGTAACCATCGCCTATGCGGCATGAAATAATATTTTTGCCCATATTTCAATCTCAGAAATTTAGTCTTGGAAAGACATCATGGACAAGCATATCTAGTTTTCACACCATATCTTGATAATTGTTTTAACTCATCAATTAACGGTCGAAGATAAACATCAATATCATTGCTCGGTGTATGAGGGCCATCAATAATCATTGATAATATCATGTATGGTTGCTTCATGCACAACCATGATGGCAAGTTATATGGAACCAAGACAACTGGCCATGTGCTATGTGAGATAAACATAGACTTGAATGGATTAAATCCATCTGAAGCCAATCCAAGTCTAATATTTCGAGGATCTTGAGAAAAATCTTGATGCAATTCATCAAATTTTCTCCAAGCAACACTATCAGCAGTATGCCGCATTACCCCGTCTTTAGTGCGACCTTCCTCATGCCATCTCATATCAGTAGATGTTTTAGATGACATAAATAATCTTTGAAGCCTCGGTATCAACGGAAAGTATCTAAATACCTTTGCTGGAATTTTTGAGGTTTCCAAACTACCAGATTCACCTACAAATTGTTTGTATCTTGGAGCTTTGCAAAACTTACAATCAGTTCGATCTTTTGTCTCACTCCAATAGATCATATAATCATTTGGACACACATGTATTTATTGTATTCGAGTCCTAAATCTTTAATAATTTCTTTTGCATCATTAAAGGACTGGGTAATATTTCACCTTCAGGAAATAAACAATTCTAACAGCATGGAAAATGAATTATTACTCCACTCATTGAGACACTTTACATGTAATAGACGAACAATAAAAGAAAGAAGTGAATATTTGCTTCCGGGAAATAATTCACGCTCAGCTTCTTTCAATAAGTTAAAAAACTTCTCTGTGTTCTTATCAAATCCCACATTATGTTGATTTTACCCACCAAAACTATCACCATGGCCGTTAATATTAATAAAGTCACTAGTAGGAGAAACTCCAAAAGCATCATGCACCAAATCTTGTATCTCATCACCTCTATCTAATCTATCCATAGACATTGATGAAGATGATGTCTCACCATGAAAAATCCAATTAACGTAACTAGGTAGAAATTCATCAACCACAATATGTTCAACAATCAATTCTTTCGGGATATATTTTATATTACGACACTTCTGACACTGACACAAGATTTCAGATGCATTAGGCCTATCTAATGAGGCAAAATGAAGAAACGTTTTGGCTCCATTCTCATATAAAAGATCATTCCTATTCAATATTTTTATCCAAGTCTTATCCATTAAGAATAACCTATATATATATATATATATATATATAGCAAAAAAATCAACTAAAAGAGAGTAATTATAGATAGAAACTATAAAGTGTATATCGTAGAATACGAATATTTATAATAATTTATACACTTTACTAATGACTGTACAAATGTGTTCATTCAAGGCATGGAAAAAAAACATATCTAGTTTCTTTATTATTTTTTTCAAAAGTGAATCTTACAAACTAGTTCACTCTATGGCCACATTATTTAATATTTTATCATGACTAAGCAAAATCAAACTATAGAATACCATAATTGACATCTTGAGTAAATATAACTTTTAAAAAATAATTATCAAATTGATGTTTTATTGAACTTGATGTAGATCTATTTTAGATTGAACTAGTAAATGACATCATACTAATCCAATATTTTAAAATAGTACTATTATTTCTATACATAAAGTTTAAGTACTACAAATATACTTTGGAAGCAAACTTAAATATCCTAAACAACTAGGAAAGAAAAAACCTAGTAAGTATTTTTAGAACGCAAAAATCTCATATCAGAGATATGAATAAAGCAAAACAAATAAAAGAAATGCCCCCCAAAAAAATGAACTTTCTTCCATCCATCAATTCGTCAAACTATGTTTCATCCCCAAATAAGTTAGTGTTGCTATAAAAATCTAGGTCCATTGTGTTCGTTATTATTTATCTATTCTTTTATATTTTAATCAATATATTGGTCAAACAACCTACGGAACTCTCTTTCTTTATCAGGTTAAAAAGATTAACATTCTTAAAAAAACCGAACAAGTAGGAAAAAGAAAGAAAATTGTTAACCCAAATCCAAACAATTAAGAAAAAGAAATAAATATGTTAACCCAAATCCAAACACCTAAGAAAAAAAAAAGTAATCTGTTAACTAAACTGGTACCTTGACTTTGTAGCAAATAAGCTTTGTGAATCTCAGCAGCAAAAACCTCGTGATAAAAATTTTTTCTTCTCCAAGTATCTATTATAGCACAGCCGAATGTAAAAAATTAGGGTTTTTGAAGAATTCTAACTAAGGAAAGAAACTATATTTTTTAGAATTGGGAGGAGGGAAGCAAAATTCTTACCGCCAAAATCTTTTCCTTCTAAATCTCCAATACTCACCATACATAGTTCCTTGTAGAAAATCTGGCCAAACTCAATTTGAGATTTTGAGCCAAACCCGATTTGAGATTTTGATTGAGATAGGTACAGACTTCTAAGGCTTGGAGTACGGCTTTTTACTTATGTTTTAAATTGTGGTCAATTGTGGGTTCCTTGGTTCTATCAATATTTTTGTTTTATTATGGGGTTTTGGCATGGTATAATAACATACTCATATAATTGGCAAAAACTAGCCCTAGTTATAGATATTGGCATCAAATAGCCAATAAATGTATATCACAATAATAATATGTATATCACAACTTTTTTTTCTTCTTCTTTGTATATACCAACATGTGTATTAAAATTTTATTTTCATTCTTTATATATAAATAATATTATTCTTTGTATATCAATAATATAAAATTATATATATAGTTATTGATATCTTTATATCAATGTATATCACAATAAAAATATTATATTATTTGTATATCACAGTGTATAACACATCGGACATGTGTATACTAAAATAGATATTATAAGTTTATTTTTCTTATTTGTGTATATCAAAAATTAATTTTCTTTTTATACCAAAATATAATTTACTCTCACAATTATATTTATTATTTTTACATTTTGGAACTTTCTTAAACATGCTATATCAAAAATTATTTTCCTTTTTTGATCAATAATTAATAATTATATTATTTGTATATCACATTGTATATGTAACGACCCGACCGACCGTTTTGAGCTCAAGCGCGTCGTTCGACAGTTTGAGTTCATGAGTAGATTCACGTCAGATATTATGACTTGTACGCATGGTCGGAATTGAATTTCGGGAAGTTCAGAGTTGATTTGGAAAGAAAATTCCCATTTCGGAAGCTTTAAGTTGAAAGAATTGAATAAGGATTGATTTATGAGTAAACGACCTCGAAATCAAGATTTGAAGGTTCGAACAGGTTCACATGATAATTTTGGACTTAGGCGTATGTCCGGATCGGGTTTTAGATGACCCGGGAATGTTTCACCGCCTATTATGGAAGTTGGCATTTTGGAAGAATTCCATAAATTTGACTTGAAGTGCATTTTAATGTTATCGATGTCCGTTTGGAATTTTGAGTCTGGAAATAGCTCCGTATGGTGATTTCGGTATTGGGAGCACGATCGAAAGTGGATTTGGAGGTTCGTAGGTCATTTTGGAGTCATTTGGCGAAAGTTAGAAATTTGAAAGTTTTTGAGAAGTTGACCGGAAGTGGAATTTTTGATATTGGGTTTGGATTCCGATTCCGGAAGTTGGAGTAGGTCTATAATATTGAATATGACTTGTGTGCAAAACTTGAGGTCAATCGGACGTGATTTGATAGGTTTCGGCATCAAAAATAGAAGTTTGAAATTCTAAAGTTCATTAAGCTTGAATTGGAGTGCGATTCATGGTTTTAGCATTGTTTGATATTATTTGAAGCTTCGAGCAGGTCCGTGTTATGTTATGGGACTGAGTTGTGTGATTAGACTGGGTCCTGGGGCCTCGGGTGTGTTTCGGAAGTGTGGGAGGAGTTGAAAGCACACCAGATTTTCTGGTGTTCTTGGCATCAATTGCAGGTCTCGCAAATGCAAGAGATTTTTCGCAAATGCGAACCTCGTATTTGCGATGATGGCTTCGCAATTGCAATGAAGCCCAACCAAGGTAGTGTTTGCATTTGCGACACTTTTGCCGCATTTGCGATCCCAGCAGACATCGCATTTGCGACTTTGGGTCGCATTTGCGATCCCAATAGCTGAAGCCCAAGGTTCGCATTTGCGAGGCTTTTGTCGCATTTACAACCCTCGCATTTGCGAACCTAGTGTCGCAAATGCGACATTAGAGGGTTGTGTCCAGCTTTTTTAAGGCGGGATTTAGGCCATTATTTCATTTCACGTCATCCTCTTAGGCGATTTTTGGAGTTTTGGAAGAGGATTTTCACCTGGCACTTTGAGGTATGTAATTTCTACACAACATGAGTTAAATACATAGATTATAGGAAGATTAACATGTAAAAATTAGGAAAAATCAATGGTTTAGGTAAGAACCTAGGATTTTGACAAAAATGAGATTTAACCACGAAATTTGTTATGGAATTTAGTATAAATCATATATTTGTGTTCCTTAGGCTATGGGTAACAACTTTCTTTAAAACTTTCCAGAATTCAGACACGTGGGCCCGGGAATGAATTTTAGAAATCTTGCATTTAGGGTTGGAAAATCAGTTTAATAATTAGAATATGAACTCTTGAGCATGTATTGACTAGTTCTTACCCCATTTGAATAGTTTTTGGATCGTTTGGCTCCGATTTGGAGGTGTGAGCGCATTCTTGAATTGGGATATAGGCTATGAGATGAGGTGAGTCTCCTTTCTAACCTTGTAAGAGGGAATTATCCCCATAGGTGAATTAATTGGATATATGCTTCTATTTGTAGGGGCTACGTACGCACGAGGTGATGAGAGTCTGTGCGTAGCTACTATTATGCTTAAGTTCAAGTAGTCTAGGACCCAAAAGCATGCTTTACTTGCAATATTTGAAATCTTGTGGTCAATTTTAAAAATTCTTAAAACATATCGAACGCGTAAATGAATTTCTATAAGACTAGTCATCGTTTCTTGATTTTTAAAAGAGAAATTTGCCTTTTTCTTGGATAATTTCTCCTTGATGAATTTTTGATTGATTGTTTGAATTTGTTTATATATTGTGAAATGGGTCAAATGCCTCGGTAGATTAAATAGATGCATCTATGGTTCGCGCCATTCGACCCTCTGGCAGTGCACAAATAAATATTGTTGGATCGGGCAGTACGACCTCGACATGATTTTGCACATGCTTGTATTGCTTGAGTTGAAAATCTATAAATGATGATATTTCCTCCCTCTCCTGAGATAAATGTGTAACTGACGAAAACAAATTTGGAAATTTCTATTAATAAAAGAATTGTTTACTTGCCTCATGCTATTGAGTTAAAATCATTTTTATGAAAATCCCCGATTTTCTATATTATTGGTATTATTAATATTGGACCCCTAGTAAGTGTCAAAGTCGACCTCTCATCTCTACTTCTTCGAGATTAGACGGGATACTTACTGAGTACACGTTGCTTTTGTACTCATGCTACACTTGCTGTGCATTTTTTTTTCACAGGCACATATTTCTCTAGTGGCCTAGTGGGCGTAGCAGCATGGTTGATATGGAGACTTAGGTGAGCTGCACTTCTCGAGACGACCCGCAGCCAGCAGAGTCTCTTTCAGATTACTGTATTTACTTTCTGTCCAATTTGTATTCCGGACGGTTGCTGTATTATATTGTTTCCTAGAGATAGTTTGTGCAGTTGTGACATCGGGTTCAGGGGTGATTATGGGATTACTCAAAATTAAGTTTGTTAAAGACTTCATGTTTATTTCTATGAATTTCATTATTTATTTCTTAATGTATATAAGAAAATGATTTCAACAAATACTAAAATGGGAATTAAACTAACTACTTGGTGTTGGCTTGTCTGACAGTGTGTACGGCGCTATCACGACCCTTAGTGGATTTTGGGTCGTGACAGTATACATAATAATAATGTGTATATCAAAAATATTTTTTAAAATTTTATTTTTCTTCTTTGTATAACACATTTTAGATTGAAAACTCAAGTTCAAGACGACTCCACATGTGTATCCTCTATTGCAACACGTGTATATCTCTATGCACATCAGTGATATCTCATGTATATTATGTGTATATGTGTATATCCACGAAAATTTGTATTATATATACGATATACAGTGTGATATACATGGGCGTCCATAAACAAATTGTGTTATATACACGATATACAAAGTGATATACACAGACGTTCTTAAAAACTTGTGTGTGATATACACTAATGTACGCGATATATAACGTGATATACACATGTCATTGTTGGATTTTTAGGTTTGCTTTTTTAGTTGTAACCAGTCTAAATCACTTTTAATCTTGCTCAAATTTTGTATATAGCCTTGTTTAGGTATTTTCAATCACACTCACTCATTCAATCCAACCAAAAAAGGAAGAGAGAAGAAAAACAAAGTTGAAATATATTTTTTCTCTCTTAGTTTTTGCTAATCTTGCTCAAAATTTGTATATGGCCTCGTTTAGGTATTTTCAACCAATTTAAATCACACCCACATCCAATCCAACCAAAAAAAATGAAGAGAGAAGAAAAACAAAGTTAAAATATATTTTTTCTCTCTTAGTTTTTGCTTCTGATTTTCTCAGATGTGAGATCAACCTTACCTTTTCATCCCATTGATTTTTTTTGCATTATTTACAAGAATTTTTGCTAAATTATGAGAGCAAAAGAGAAGAGATAGAAGAAGAAGTACAAGGAGAGAAACGGAGAGGGAAGCCAAAATAAGCGTGTAGTTTTTTTGTGAGAGAGAATATAAAAGAGAGTAGTTTTTTTGAAGATTTGGCTATAAAATGCTAATTGTTTGGGGCTAGTTTTTCCAAACCTAATATAAGGCTAAAAATTGCCACTTTCTGTTATGTGTTGTTATAGGATGCCAATTTTTCTTTATTGGGATGAATTTTTCTTTGTTTTAAATATTTCATCGTTAAATAAATCCAACATCTAGTAAGTAGTAGTAATAATAATATATATTTTTGTAACGACACGACCGATCGTTTCATGAGTTACCGCTTCGTTTCCCTCATTTCTGCTTCTTATTGTCTTGTTCAGCTGTATTATGTGATATCGGGTTAGTTGGTTCGGGTTCGGAGAGGTTTTGGAAAGGAATGAGACACTTAGTCTCTTTTGAGTAAGCTTAGGTTGGAAAAATCAACCGGATGTTGACTTATGTGAAAAAGGGCTTGGATGTGAATTCTGATGGTTCGGATAGCTTTGGGAGATGATTTGGGACTTAGGAGCGTGATTGGAATGGATTTTGGAGGTCCGGAGTAGATTTAGGCTTGAATTGGCGAAATTGGAATTTTGGCGTTTTTCGGTTGATAGGGGAGATCTTGATATAGGGGTCGGAATGGAATTTCTGAAAGTTGCAATAGGTCCGTTGTGTCATATGTGATGTGTATGCAAAATTTC